GGCCTGGCTACAGCCGGTGTTCCAGGAAGCATGCAGGGTGAGTGGGCCCTTCTCACGAGACCTTGTGGTGCCCTGCAGGGAACAGCCAGGCCACTTTGTGTGTGCTCCCCAGTGGGTGGGGCTCAGCTCAGCTCTGGGGGATACAGGGCCGGAAATCCGATGGAGTCCACAGGAAGCAAGCAGGGAGGGGACTGCACTGACAGAGGGTGAGGGCTGCTCCCTTCCCCCTGCTCAGGCCCAGCGCCTGGCTCAAGTGCTGCCCAGTCCCGACAGCGCTCGATGCCCACTTTGCTGTCCTGCTCCACCTCCGCCCACTTGGAGACAGATGGGCTGACCTGGGGACACGACGCACCCCAGGGTGGCCCCACCAGCTCCCTGTCCCTGCGTTGGGCAGGCCCTGTCTGGTCTCAGCTGTGAGCCCCCACCAGGATGACAGGACCCCAAGCCTTAGCTGTGGGCGTTTGGTCTGCCTGGGCAGAGGCTGCACCGCAGCAGCAGAGCCACAGGCCGGTGGACCCTGGGGCAGGGTCCACCCAGGGGGCACGGCAGAGTCCTGGGGGGCATTCCCAGCAAAGCACCTGCCCTTGTGGTACAGAGCTGGCGCTCAGTGAACGACCGTCTCAGCATGCCTCCCAGCCCACCAATTCTTGGTCCTATGCAAGGAATACCACGTCCCCTGGTGGGGCCACACAAGTCCAGCCCAGCCACCGTGGCCAATGTGGCAGGTCAATTCATGGCCCCCAAAGGGTGTCCATGCCAACCCCTGGGGCTGTGACTGACTGGCGACAACCAGCGCACCTATTCCATACACTTGGTTAACCCCAACAGGCACTAGGAGGAGCATCCTGGATTGGCGAGGGAGGGGCCACCAGGTCCTCAGCGGACAGAAGCAGGGGCAGCAGGATGCACAGAGAGGGACCATGAGGTGAGGGCGAGGCCTCCGGGACCTGGCCGAGTCACGTGAGCCCAGGGAGATGCCGGAGGATCCTGAGCCCTGGACCGTGTGAGAAGACATTCCACTTGGGGCCATTCATTCACAGTGACATGTAACGGTAGCCACAGGGGGAGGGTAATCAAGAACATACACACACATACACAGTCAGTGCTCAATAAAGACCCCTCTGTTGGACCCTAAGGACGCACAGCCTTCCCCAGAGCCTTGCGAGTCTGCAGGTGACCTCCAAGTTCCTTGACCCCATCCTGACTGTGCCAGGAGCCCCAGGGGAGAAGGGGATTCTGGGATGCAGTCCCCCAGTGGCATCTCAGGGGCTGTAAAGTTTTGGGGGGACCACCACCCCTCCAAAGCTCAGCATGGCCTCAGGATTCCGGGCACCAACACTGCCCAGCCTAACCAGAGAGAAGGAAGCTTCTGCATGGAGCAAGGAAGCCTTGCCCAGAACATGATACTCAGCCGGGACACCCCGAAAGGCTGGCCTGCACTCCCAGGCACCTCACTTCCTCTTGACCTTGCCCTCCCGGACCAGCACCAGACGACTTAAAAGCTCAGCTCATGCAAATGCTTGCCGAGCGCCTTCCATGTGCAGTATGCCACGCGCTGGAGAGAGGAAGAGGCCACCAAGCCACGACAGCATGCTAGGGTGGTGGCCCCAGGGCCTTTGCACTCGTGCCTCCTCAGCTGCAGCTTACCTGAGCTGCTCCCCAGCCCGTAGCCTGGAGCACAGCCCTCTCCGTACCTGCCCGGCCTGCGTGCCTGGCTCCTAAAGGAGGGCTGCAGGGTGGCCGTGATCTGTCTGTGTCCCGGTGCCCCAGTGCCCCGAGGGCCTCCAGCACACAGTAGGTGCTCAGTGTGTCGGTGAACATGGCACACATGGCTGGCAGTGTAGAAGTGGAGACAGATGTGCACACGGGCAATGGGAACTGACTGGGTGTGGAGACGCAGCTGGAGAGAATCCCAGTCTTGAAATGGGACTGCCCGGGCAGGCCGTGATGAGTGCCATGTGGGCACAGCGAGAAGCTGGCAAGTTCCACTCCTTAGGCCAGAGAAACCCACAGCGGTGCCCAGTGGTGACTCACCAGGCCGCCCACTGCTGGGGTCTGGTGCTGGGGTACAGTGAGGTGGTGAATGACCTCACAGCACAGGCCTCGGAGGGCTGCCCTGTGCCCAGTGCTGCCTGGTGCTGCCCGGCAAGCCTCTGTCACCCACCTGCTTGGCAGAAACCCGGCTCTGGGTGACAAACCCCAATCACATGATGGCAGGTAGCCTCCCCCGGGCCATCAGAACCACCCTGAAGTCAGCGCTTGGGTTGTAGCTTCTCTAGCTGCTCGAGGTAAACGCTTTTCTTTTGAATTTCACAGACATCTGCCTTAGTGGCCTCCGTGGTACCCTGGCCTGGCTGCTGCTGCCCACAGGCTGCCAAGGGGCTCTGAGGGGAGAGAAAACAGCTGCCAGGGTGAAGCTGACCAGACATGAGCGGAGAAAGGGACTGAGGGGTGGCAGCCCAGGAGACATGGTGCTGTGCACAGCAGGGCTGCGCAAGCACCGAGTACACAGCAAGGACTGCACGAGGCCCAGCCAAGTCCCCCAGGGAACTCCACCACGCAGGCCCTGCCTCGGCCTGGCCCGGTGGCCCAACTAAGGGAGATGAAAGCCAGGACCCAGAAGGCCCTCAGGAGCTGGGGGTCAGGGCGCCCCTCACGCACACCAGGCCCTGCTCCAAGACTAGCTCCAGACTCCAAAGACTGCCAGGCCCTCCACCCTCCTGTTCTGTGGGGGAGGGGGCCCTGAGGCATGTGGCAGTCCCAGGAGCTCAGGGACACATAATCCACTGGCAGGGGGTGGGGCTGAGCCCAGTGGAGCGGGGGCCCACACACAGAGGGTGCCCCTGGTGGCAGCGCTGTACCAGCAGGCAGTGTCTATGAGGTGAGGGTAGGGAGACTCCAGCAGGCAGGCTGAAGAGAGTGACTGGGGGCTCTGGAGGGTGATAGTGCCTGTGAGCACGGGAGCCGCCCCACAGCTGGGGACAGTCAGAAAGGCCACATGAGGTGTGAACAACAGGGATGGGGTGCTGAGGGATGGCCTGGGGCTCACGGAGCCACGGCCGGGCTCCCTGAGTGCGGCCATCCATCCATCCATCCATCCATCCTCGGCCTGGCCATCTACCTCAAATGCATGCTCCCCAGCGGGCCCAAATTCTACCAGCTCTGTTAGTAATGGCTTATGCCCACCCAAAAAGCAGCCACATGGCTTAGAAAGGACCTCCAGGGCCCACGTGGCACGATTCCAGGGTGCCACCCAGCGACAACACGGCAGCGCCTCACCCTGTGGCCAAACACAGAACACATCTGCCAAGACAACCAGAACGGCACATTGGAATTGTTTAGCGTGCAACCTATACAGCTGTGCGTGGCTGCTGTCAGGGCCCCCTCGGTGCTTGGCCCGCCGCACTGCCACAACCCACAACCGCAGCAGGACTTCATTTCTACCACGCCTGTTCTGCGGCTGGAGCAGCTGAGCCCCTCACCCCTCCGCTGGGGATTTCCTCTCAGGCCAAGGGCCCTGCCTTGTCTATCAGAAGATTGCAGCTCAGGGTCGCTGTGACCTTCACAGGACAGAAAGAGACGGCCCCAGGGTCCTGACAGGCGGCGACGCAGCCTCCCTCAGTGGCTGACTCATCTCAGGGAACTCCAACAGCAGGTGCAGGGTCACACTGTCCGCTCAGCGAGCGCCTGACTGGGCACCCAAAGCCCACACCTGAGGGCACCCAGAGTCTCACACAGAAACGCAGCCACCCAAGCTGCACCCACACCTGCTGCTGCCCACACTCAACACCTGGGGGGACCAAGGTCGGAGGTCAGAGGTCAGAGCTGTGCAGCCAGTCCCCACTGCTGCCACCTGCTGCTGAATCCTGCCCCATCTGGTGCGTCTCTTGTGTTTGTGTGCTCGTGTCCAAGTCTGTCCTGGTCCTGTGGCCAGGTGCACACCATGTGTGTGGGTCTTGCGGGCTGTGTGTGTGCACATGTGCATCTGTGTATGCATGTGCGTGTGCCCATCAGCATCTGTCTGTGCATAGGTGTGCCTGACCACCCGCCCCTCCCCCACTGTGCTCCCTCCACCAGGCAGCTGGCAAAGCGCAGCTGGGCCCAGAGGCTGTGCCATCCTGTCGACTGAGAGGTAGCAGGTGTATAATAAGCCATTTGTCACTGCCATGTTTCTGAGCCACCCAGGGGTCCTGATGTGAATGTACTCCTCGGGGCTGCTGGGAGCTGGCCCCACACAGGCTCAGCCAGATGGGCACAGCTGGCAGGCATGGGCAGAGAGCCCCAGGGCCTCCCTAGGTGTCAGCTCCCCACTCTTGGGTCCCTACACTGCAGCCCAGGGAGGAGGTGGGTCACAGCCAATGGAGAGCAGCTCAGGAACTTGAGAATAACAGGCCGGCCCCATAGGTCTCCAAACAGAGTCCTGACTGGGAACAGAAAGGTCTCCTCTGCCTCCTGAACTGAGTTGGGGATATCTGGGCTCAGAGAATTGGGGACTATGAAGGGACACGGTGTCCACCATAGGCCAAAGTCCAGCCAGGGGTCAGCAGGGACCCCACACCATGGGAAAGGCTCAGAGTCCATGCCAGCTGTGGACCAGGGGCAGCAGCACAGCCAGGGGCATCAGGGAGCACAACATGAGCACAGGCACCAGCGCTGAGCGCCGGACAGGTGTGACTGTGGTCAGTGCCCGCACATGGCCTGCTTCCCAGCCCAGCCAAGGGACACAGCCCCAAAATGTGCCCATGGGCCCAGCCACCTCTGACAGCCTTGAGAAGAGTGGACAGATGGAGAACGCAGGGGAAGTGGTCCGCAAGCACATAGTCAGAGCCACACATGAGCGCAGGACACCAAGGACCCAGATGCTGAGCAAACCAGTCCAGCACCCCAGGAAAATGTGAATAAAAACCCGACTCCAGTCAGGCAGACATGGCAACCAGAACGCACGGACCCAGCTCTGAGAGACTGCCTGCGCCGCAAGGCAGTCCTGTCCCAGCGTGTACCTGTGCCCAGGAGGTCCTGTCTGTCTCCATCGTGGTTCGGCTGGCTTTGCACTGGCTGTAGCTCCGGTGCTGTCCTAGGGCCCCTGGGCAGGCTGGTGGTGGCAGCAGACCCCTGACGTGGCTCAGGCTCCTGAGCAGGAGGGGGGACAGCACCCAATACCTCCAGAGAGCTGGAAGTGACCTGCAAGCACAGAGATGGACATGTGAGCTGGGGCCACACTTGGCAGAAGGTGTGGTGGCAGGGGCCATCTTCCAAGGGTGCCAATCCCAAGGCCTGGCCTCTGGGGTCAGGATCCAGCACAGCTAGCAAATGTCCCTGGTGAGGCTGCTGTGCATGGGACAGCCATGGGTCCATGTGCAACTGCACAGTCTCGGACCAAGCAAGGTGCTAGGGCCCAGCAGCACTCTTGTGCAGAGAGTTGCCAGACCCTGGCACTGGGCTTGGTGAACTGGGACGGTCCCTGGGCCATCTCAGTGACACCCAGTGAGCCAAGGGACACTTCTCACTGAGTGCCCTAGGGTGTGGGGTCTTGGGACTGCTATGACCAGCTGCCCAGCTGAGGCCAACCTGGCGGAGTGAGGAACACTGCTGACACAGAGGTGGGCACTCCCAGGAGGCCTCTGCACATGGCTGCTGTGCCCCTGCTAGCGCATGTGACCTGGGGTGCGACTAGGCCCCTGTATCATGGGGCCCAAGGGGGCACAGATGCCGCATGAGCCCAGGGCACCAGGCAGTTTGGGCCTTGTCAGAGTGGTGCAAAGCTCCCCACCAGCCCCCACCACACGGGGCCCTTGGGAGGGACTCAGGCCCACAGGGAGGCTGCCTCCCGCAGCCAGCCCTCCTTGTATGCGACCAGCCAGGCTTCGGCCCACCCTGCAGGGGTCACCTGCCTGTCCCTACCTGCTGTATTTGTTAAACTTAGGATCAAGTCTACTTGACACCACCCCCTCTCCTGCTGAGCGCTGCCGTGGGCTTAGGGCATCGTCACTCAACCCACGGCGCTGCCCCTGCTGCTCATCTCCAGAGCCCCCGTCACCTGGGCCAAGCGCTGTCGGCGCAAAGACACCACATCCCAGCCCTGGTCACTGCCTCCTGCACTCCATTGTGAAGGGCAACACCCGCGTCTTTCCCCTCTTGGAGGCCAGGAGAGAGAGGCTCTGAGGTGGCGGGGGGAAGCTGAGGTGCAGGCGGGGTCAGCCCGGACCCTGCTGCAGGAGCCGCTTGGCTGAGCCCTGCATGCATTTGAGGGCTGGACCCGTCCTGGTCATGGGTCATGGGGCCAGGCAGGGGTGGTGGTGACAGTGGTCTTCGTGGTTAGGAGTGAGTGACAGGGTCGGCGCGGCTGTCAAAAGGCAGCTTTATGTTGATCCAGTCTTTTTTTTTTTTTTTCAGAGATTAGTGCTATAAACCCAAGCACCTACATCGCCAAGTTCCTTAGGCGACCACAGGCTCCACCAGCCCCCAAGCAGAGACGCATAAATTCACCGCTGTTTCCTGGAATGCTTTAATTTATGGGATCCATATGGTGACACGGTCCAGACCACATCCCGCAAATCCCGCTGGAGTGCCGCGGCCGGCTGATGAGAGGGGGCAGGGCTCCAGGCGGGCGGGCTCGCGGCTACTGGCTTGCTCCTTCATTCATTCACTCTTCCACCCGAGACCCAGGTGGGCCCATCCACACGGCAGGCCTCTGGAGCCCCCGCACAAATGGGACCCACCCTGTGAGGACTCAGCTTCTTCACAGCCCCGTCCAGAGTCCTCTGGGAGATTCTACCCAGTGATGCTGAAGCAAACCAGGCTGTCACCGGGTCCGTGGTGGGCACAGGATCACTGGTCCAGCCAGTCTGGTGACAGCAGGGGCTCGAACAAGGCCTTGGAGATGGCTGGAGGGGCAGGGCAGGTCGTGAAACACCAGCCCAGGCCTCCATGTCCTCTTCCCCTTCCTGGAGGGGAGTTGAGGGTCTCCTTGTGGGGTGGAGGTGGCAGCTGCGCACAGGCTGTGGGCATGCGGGCAGAAGTGAGGGCAGGAGGTGGAAGACCACTGGGAGGAGCAGGTGCAGAGCAGGAGATGTGGCTCCCCAGGGTGGGGCAACATGGGCGTGCTTCCCAGAGCTGGGGTTAGCTGGGGCCTCAGGGAAATGGGGTAGGAACGAACGGACAGGGGCGCCTTCTTGGGGTGGGCCCAGCCTGAGCAGGACACCAGCACAAGCAGCTCTGTTCTGCAGACACGTGGCAGGCCTGCCGCAGCAAAGGCGTGGTACAGCAGTGCTTAAATGTCTTAGATAAATACAGAAAAATGCACTGCACGAGCACTCTCAAAGTCCTTCCCCTCACGGCGAACACACTCATCCCATCGTTCCTGCTCCTTTCTGAAGCCTCTCTGGAGTCCTTGTTCATGAGTGTCTTTAGCTGTTCTATTTGGCTGCTTCAATGTTTTGAATGAATTAAAAACATTTACTTTTCACTGTCATTTTGATTTTGGGAAGAGTCAGAAATCCAACAATGACAGATCTGGTAAACCACATAGACGAGGCACCCCCTGGCGGCAGTCACTGTATTTTTTTTTCACACTTCATGAAGAAACTCAGGTAAGAGCAGCCCAGAGCTGCCGCAGAGGCAGCCAGGGTACAGGATGGGCATGCTGTGTGCAGAGCGGGGGAGGGTTCTGAGGGAGACTGGGGACAGCACCTCACTGTAATGAACTTTATTTGGAGACCCACTGTATGTTACAATGACCCCATCTGCTGCTGTGACCAGGAGGGCTGGGGTTCAGCATGCGCCTCCCTCAGAGCTTGGCAAAGGCGGGAATGCTGCTCCTGCAGGCTGGAGGACAAAAGCAAGGGCTAGTACTGGCAGAGGGGCAGCTGCAGGGAGAGGAGCCCTGCTCAGAGACAGGAGGTGCACACGGCAGGGGACCCTATCTTGCCAGGTCCGATTTTGCAAGAAGCAGCATCAACAATGGGGTATGTGTAGCTTGCACAAAGCCCTGGGTTTGATCCGCAGCACTGAAAAAACAACAAAAAATCAGCAGCTGAGCACTCACTTTTTTAAAGAACACATTTGGTGCAGGGTCTCATTACGCAGCTCAGACTTAGTGATCCTCCTGTTTTCAGCCTCCCCAGAGCTGGGATTACAGGCATGTACCACCACACCCGGTCTCAGTAGGTGGCTCAGCCCACCCAGGGGTGGGGCTGGTGCTGGTGCCGGCATGGTATGTGGTGCTGGGGATGGAACCCCACTCCCTGCGCTTGCCTAAGCAGGTGCTTAGTCTGCTGAGCTAGCTCACTGGCCCCCTGATGAACTTCAGAGAAGCTCGAGTCCTCACCTTGAGCATCCCTTCCTGGCTCCGGAGTGGAGGCTGGGGCACTGCTTGGCCTCATGGGGAAGCCTGTCACATTGGCTTTCCTGGTGGGAGCTCGGCTTTCCTCACTGTTGTTGCTGAGAGCTCCGGTGCTTACCTTGAGCGTCACTTCCTGGCTCCAGTGCAGACCCCGCGGCCTGCGAGCGCAGATCCTCCATCCCGCTGGCACAGACTTTCTAGCTTCCACCGCTGACCTTTGGGCCTTCCCGGCACAGATCCGTGAAACAGGCCTGCATGAGGCTTTGTTGTGGGCTCGGGGCTCCAGCTGACTCGGGGGAGGCCTCACTATCAGCTCTAGATTTCCAGCTGGACTCAGGCAGGACATCAGGATCCAGGTCCTCAGCTGGATTTCTTAGTGTTTATGTGTGTGGACAGATTTCCTGCATTTCATATTAATGATTCTTGAGTAATTCATTATGAAATACTATTATAAAATGTGTCCTGTATTATATTGTTTGCCTTGCAAGAACACCAAACTACGACACCCTGTCTCAAAATAAAAAATAGAAGGGCTGAGGTGCACTGGGGCACTTGCCTCACAGTGCCCAGAACTGGGTTCCAGTGCTTGTACTGCGAAAGAAGAGGCAGAGTTCAAATGCGGCTGCTGAGCACTGGGAGGTCAGGAGCAGAGGCAGCAGCTGTCTGAGCTCCAGCATGGGCTGTCACAAGCTGCCAGTGGGGACCTCACCAGCCTGGGTGCTCTAGGAGAGCACTCGGCCTGGGTACAAGCATCCCTGGGCACCACTGTCTGCCAAGCCACAGGTATCTGAGATAGACCAGGTGCTGGCCCTGTCGCCTGCCGTCAGGAGAGAAGGCAGTTCGTGCAGGGAGCCTGGTGCATACGGGTGGGCGGGATGGGTTTCAGGGGCATGCACAGCTGTGTGGGTAGAGGTGCTTGCTAAACACCATGTGGATGGTGCCTACAACGGCTCTCAGCAGAGACAGGAAGAGGCACAAAGCTGCCCTCTCCCTCCCACAGCCAGATTTACAGCAGCTGCTGCCTACTAAAACATACACCCTTGAGCCATGCCAGCCACAGTGCCCGAGATCCACCAGTGTCAAGTGCTATCTGTCTCCATGGGTGCTGCTACACCTGGGCCCGAGACATGCACTGCCAATGTCGCCTCCGCTGGGTCCCTGGAGATCAGCCTCACTGAGCCCCACAAAGGGCCTACACAGACCTGGCTCTGAGCCAGGCAGCTTTATTAGAGAGCAGGGAAGAACAGAGGGGGACACTTTCCAAGTTCTTCACAATGAAAGGCGACTTGCAGCTACCCAAAGGAGGTCCTACACTTGGTCCCATCGAGAAAAGCTGACTCCAGGGAGACCTGGGTGGGCTGGGGTCTGCATTCCACTCCCAAGAGGAAACAAATGTGTATGTACATGCACGCACAAATGGGTGTCATCAGGGTCATTGTTAGAGCTGGTGTCTAGAGGCCCCCAAGCCTCAGGGGTCACAGGCAGGGCTTTCCGGAGGTGGCTGGCTCTAGGCTGTGTGCTGCTGGGATCAAGGCTGTGGCCCTGGCGCTGACTGTGGTTCGAGGAAGGCTGCCCCACCCGGGAGGGGGTGCCGGGGCGGCCTGGACACAGGGAGGGCTGCCGCGTGCTGCTCGCTGCTCCAGGGCTTTGCTGCCTTCCTGCCTGCCCTCCGCAGCTGCTTCTCCTCCACGAAGCCTCTGCCACACCGCCCCGCCTTGGAGCCAGCTGATGCTGGACTGGACCGTCCACACACCGTGAGCCTAAGTAGGCCTTTCCTTTAACTTTGGGAGTTGGGTATTTTGTCTCAGCAACCAGAAAAGTAACTAAGAGAGGCATATTT